CTGTGGTATGTAAAGCAAGAACTGCATCAAACTGTTATTAAGTGTATATTATTCCTGTGGGACCTGTGGTTTCTTTTATTATTTCTCAGAACTCTGTTCAAAATATAGTATACAGTCTGTACATACAATTCTAAACACTATATTTTTCCTAGCACAGAGAATTATTTTTCTGCTTTTGAATATAATGATGAAAAAGAAAACGGGAAATTATTTCTTACAAGGGAATAATTTTGAGCCCAAGATAAATTAACTGAAAGAAGGTCATAGAAGGAAAATTATCCCCCTTCCTCTTCTCCCAGCCTCCTGAAAGGACTCTGGCTCATCTCAGGACCTACTTTATCTATCTGTCTATCTGTTATATTTGTAGGCTGCCCACTGGGGACAATTCTGAGTGGTATACTGATTAAAAACGCAAATAACAACACCATAAAAAAGAGAAAAGATGTGTAAACAGGGAGACAACAAACACAATAAGAGCAAAACAACCCACAGTGAGCCTATGTAATACCTTAGCTCAGTGGTGGCGAACCTATGGCATGCGTGCCAGAGGTGGCACTCTGAGCCCTCTCTATGGGCATGCGCGCCGACGCTCCAGCCCTGCCTCCCCCCATGGCCCCTTCCTCACCAGCAGCCCCCCAGAGCAAAGTCGCCCCTGGGCATGGCCCATGCGGAGCAGCGCAGCCAAGGGCATGGCAGCCGGGCAGCAGGGACAAGACTCCGTCCTTGCACCTCGTTGCACGCAGATGATGCTGTGGGGTGCAGGCGGAGGGCGTGGCTGCCATGGCACTGCAAGGATGCCTGGGTGATCTGCGATGGGCCATGGAGGCAGTAGGTGGCCCTGCGGGCTGGCGGGGCAGAGTGGAACGGGGAGGGAGGTGGGCGGGAGCAGGAGCAGGGCGGTTTTGGGGCACTCAGTGTCTAAAAGGTTCGCCATTATTGCCTTAGCCCAATACCAGGGAAAGTTGGGGCTGTTTGTATCTCTGAGGGGATGCTGTTCCAAAGGGTAGGTGTCATGATGGAAAAGGTACATCTTCCAGGGCCCATCAGATAGGTTTACTTGATAGATGGATCCCAAAGCATGCTAACCCTGTCAGATCATTCTGGATGGATACGTATCACAGGAGAAAAATGAACCTTCAAATAATCAGGCTCAGTGCCTTGAAGGGCTTTTTTAGGTGACAACTAGCACTTTGAATTGCAGCTGGAAACCTGAAGCAGAAATATTATATGGGCATATGGAGACACACTCATTAACTGCTGCTGCTGCAGCATTCTAGATCACTGTCTGAAGTAGTAGTATTCAAAGACAGCCCCGTGCAGAGTGCATTACAAAAATCCCAATGAGAGATTGATTGATTAGGAATAGGGCTGATCCAGAAGTCAGTGCAATTGGCACACAAAATGAATCTGTCCAAAGACCTTGCTGCCCACAGCTTTTTCCTGCTCTTTAAGCAGGAATAGCGAGTCCAGGACAGCCTCCAAGTTGTTAACTAGTTCCATCAATGGAGTGCTATTCCATCCAGAATGAGGGATGGAAAATTCCTAGGAATGAGAAGTCCATGAACCCAGAGCCACTTGGTCCTGTCAAGGTTGAATCTAAACATGTACTTCTTCATCCAGACTCTCCCAGCCTTCAGGCAGTGGTATGAGACCTTGACAGCATTACCTGGTCAGTCTGGAAACAAAATATAGAAATGAGTATCATTAATAGGCTAATACCTGACCTTATGTTGGTAGATATGTCACCCAGCAACCTTACATACAAGTTAAACAGAAGGGATAAAGAGCATCAAGCTCTATGGTACCTCACAGTGCAGGGATTTAAAGTGCAACACTCCCCCCCCCAGCCAATGTCTAAAATCAAACACAGAAGAAGGGAAATCGCATTGCAACACATAACCTTCCACTCTCAATCCTTGCAAGTCAATCTGGAAGGAAACCATGATCAATGATATTGAAATCTCACTGAGAGATTAAAAACTATTAGGACAGCTGCCTTATCTTCCCAAATAGATTAAGGCCAACTAATACCCCAAGCACTGTCCAGCAGTTATACCCCTCAACAGAAGCAAAATGTATGCAATGAGACAGAAACAAATGTGATATCTGATGGTACCTTCAAATCGAACTTTTAAACTTTAGTCATTCACCATGCCAAAGAACATATATTTTTAACAATGAAGATTAAATTTGAATATGGCAGATATGGACAATTTAAAAAATTCACTTAAAGTTGAATGTGGCACTCCCCTTCCCTCGGTGCCCTAAGCATATGCTTATTTTGCTGGATGATTAATTCACTTGTGTCCCAGCTCTGCCAAAGATCAAAGGTCAGCGACAAATGCATAGTTTCTTTATATTGTGACAAACCGGAAGCCTATCCAGATGATGTGATGTGAAAGACTGGGCAGGAAAAATTGCCATGAATTGGGCAGAGGCTTGCTTCTTTCCTCCCGTAAATCTTAACATCCCTTGTCCTATAGTTAAGGAGAGCTTCCATGACATAATTTTTAATTATTTTTAAAAGCCTGGGTAACTAGAAAGTGAATGGGGAAAAGAGAACTTTATTTTCATAAACTTCTTTAGGGAACTTCATTTAAAATTCTGTCCAGTGTATTTAAAATTTGTGAGTAAGAATATGATGAGTTTCAGATAATTAATACAGATTAAACAACTTTTATTATATCCATTTCTTATGACTATTTATGGGTTGTACTTCCTTATCAATACATCACAGCTTGATTAATCTAATAAGTGAATAAAATATGTAGATTCTTTACTTGTTTGAGGAATACAGTGGGGACTAGGAGGAAAGTAAGAGCGCTAGTCTTGTGTGCTGTTAAAGCATCAGGCTAGAAACTGGGAGTTTAGTCCTGCTGTAGGCACAAAGTCAGCTGGATGACTCTAGGCCAGTCACTCAGCCCTAGGAAAGAGGCAGTGGCAAACCACTTCCAAAATAAGGGGTCCTTAGTGCTCTCTGAGTTTGCTTGTTTTCTTGTAGACATTACATTCCATTCATCACTAGCAATGATGATGTTACCTAATTTGCGTAATGAAACATCGGCAAGGAAACAACCAAGCTCAGAGAGTACCAAGGACCCCTCATTTCAACCGTGAGCTACACTGAGCTTTATTGGCATTTTCAAAATCTTGCCAAGAAAATTTCAGGGACTAGCCCAGGCAGTCCCATGAGAGAACACTGACTCGAAAGCACAACAACAACAGGAAAAACAGCAACACAAGGAGGAAAGTCCTTTCTAATTAGGTGGCATGAATGGAACCTCTAAGTCTTCTGATAAAACTGATGTAGTAGCTACATTTCAAAAACAAGATATTAAAAAGAGTCAATAGGTCAGAATATAGCAAAAGTATTGTTAGTATTTATTCACAACAAGCAAGGTGTAAAGAAGAAGGAAGATTGATGGAGATAAGCTGATTTCATTGCCAAGGCAACAGAGGCTAAAGCATTTTTAAAGTCCAGAACATCCAGGTAACATTTAGAAGTGACTCAGACTAATTTGTGGAACTATAAGGAGGAGATACAGCAAAATCAAAATTGCAAAATTTTGCTTTAATAGCCGGTCTCAATAAAAGTAATTTTAAAATGGAGTTGATTTCATAATCTGGTCTACCTAGTGTGGCTAATACAAGGCCTTCAGGTTGTGTACATGTACGTGGCTTTCTTTAACCTGAACGTTAATGGAGTTGCAGGGATCATGGACAATGATGATCCATCATGGTTAGAACTGATTTTTCATCCCCTTTTAAGTATCTACTTCTTTAAGATTAAATAAACAAGTTTAAATGGAGGAATTGGAAGCCTCAAGCTATAGAGGAAAAGCATAATATAAATATATCCTTTGTAAAGGAAATCACAACAAATTATATTTTCATTTTCGGTTATGAGGTAATTTGAGAAATTAGAATTATGATTGCATTAATAAGCTTTTAAAATAACAGCAATAATAATAATTTCATTTACATGTGTTTAAGCTTGTTTATTGGTAGATATTAGAACTTGGAGTCTGTACTAAAAGCTTCCTGGAAAAGGTGACTTTTAAAACAGATTTACCAATGTAGAAATGTGAACTTATACCTGCAATTTGAAGTCCAGTTTCTGGCATTAGAACATCAAGGGAAAAAGTGGAAAAATCCATGTTATACCAGTTATCTCTTGGACAGCTGTTGGTAGAAGTGGATGAGCAAACCACTTATGTACTAGAAAATAAGAAAGGAGAAATAAAATCAAGATAACAGCCATTGTGAAGAATCATATGGTCAGATGATAAGAAAAGTGAATAATTTTATCAAAATAAATGGCATTATATTACCATGATTACCTTTTATTCCATCCCCTTCTCCTGTATTCCAACAGATCAATTTTTCCTTTAATGATTGGAAACACAATAATTAAATTCTAACACTGTTTATTAGAAGAAGTTTATACTATGTTTGAGACGTTTTATAGCTTTTTACTGTAGAAAAGAACTCCCTATTCATCCCCCCCAAAATATATTATTTTTTTTCTAACCATGCGCAATGAAAAGGCATCATACTTTTTATATTGTCATGTTTAGCTATTATACACATTTACACATTCTACGATATAGTAATTTAATGCGATCAGTGTTCTCTGTTACAAGATAAACATATATACAACTAAAATAGCTGCAGTAAATTTAGAACCCACATTAAATATTTATAGCTCCTCAAAAGGGAATGGCAAACATGCTCCAAATGACTTTTTGTTGTGAGTCAACAAGTTATTGTAGGAGTTTATCTCTTATTGTACTGCTTACTTCTTTTCAGGAAAGTATATAAATCTAGGCCATTCTACTAGGACTGACTTCAGGAGCTAGATTAATATTATGATAAAATTTCTCTGCTGCATGTTTGGTCAATAGCCTGATTTTTTTGAGGAATAGGAAATAGGAGTTTCTTATTAACAAGTAAGAGTTTATATGACAAGGGAAAAATGAACTTGTACTCTTGTGTTACAGATTCAGTGGTTCTTTCCTCTGACTCCGTTGGACGTTCAATAGGCTCAGGTACAACTTCCTGTCCCCTCTTCTCTCTCATAAATAAGATTGCCAATTTATGTGTGACAGCCATGTTGGGAGGCAGATAAGTAGCTGTTAATCACAATTTAAGATTATCTTTCATGATAGCCTTTGAAGGAAATTTGATGAGTCCTTTGAAAATAGGTAATTAAAGAGAACATAGCCTTTATACTATTTTCCCGATGCTACATTTTTATTACTTAAATTGTGCTTTTGATTTTATTGGTTGAGAATCTGAAAGCTATAGTCTCAACTCATCTGGAAGGCACCATATTGGAGAAGGCTATTCTAGATGGGAGGTCACATTTGCAAATAAAAAAAAACCCTTATACAGAACATAAAATTTAAACTGTAATATCAGTAAGCTATATTAGATAAACAAAACAAGTAGGGAAGTTTAACATAAAAACTGACAATGGTGTAGCAACAAAACAGAACAGGATTTGTAAATTACCATAAGTCAGTAAATCCCTGGCCACTTTCCTTGTCTGTTTTGTGAGTTTGCTAATAATTAGCAGCAAAAAGATTCAGGTCGGCTGAGTCCACATTATAACCTCTTTATTAAAATGCCCCTAGAAATGCCTGTAATTCGAGAAAAATGCTATTCCAAAAGATGTTACATCAACTGATTTATCTTTCCAAATGTAGAAGAAAATGGAGATGATGCTTCTTGAGTGAAGATGGAACTATGTTCTGCCTTAACTGTAACTGTAACTCCAATGTTTTTACTGCAGATGGAGATAGTGAGTTCAAGGAGACACTTCCTTTCCTCTTTATTTTTGGAACATTATTGACCTGAATTTAAAAGCAGTGTGCTCATTTTGTGTTAGAATATCTATGAACCGGTGTGGAACATAAGGAATAGCTGTAAGTTGTGATTGATGAATGATTTAGCTAAAAATCACAAGGTACAGTTCTTAAGAGGTTGTGCTAAGACCCCAAATAAATAGTTTTCAGCAAGGGAATATAGCTTGGGAGAACAGGAGTTGATTTATCCCTTAACCCCTTTAATCTATGTAAGCACGTGGCCTAAAAGAAGTTCTGAACCACCTTCTCTTTATAGTTAGTTAGTTCTTACCTTATGAAAATCTCTTTTCAGAATACTGATTAAATTGTGATAAGAATATTTACTGCCTTCCAACATGGCCTCTGGTTTTTTGCCTGCCCAGTAGTGCTGTGCACTCACTGAAAATTATTTGAAAAAAGAGCTTTGGACTTCACATGAGTTCACCTCCTCTTTTTGCTGTTCAGTAAAGTAGATCAACTATTAAGGCTGCAGTATTAGCCTGAATGAAATGATGCTGCAGCTGAAAGCACAGAGGCCTGAAAGAAGTCCAAATATTTAATAAATATTATAGAGGTATTTCATTTGTATGAGGTCCAAAGCATTTCCTCCAAATAATTTTTGAAATATACACAGCCCTGCTAGAAAGCAATCAGGTGTAGCTTGCTGCCTAACCCCAACAGGGAAGCCTAATTACTAACCTTGGACTTTAGTCTTTTGTAAGTAGAAGCTGCTTCTGCTCTTCTGTCTGCAAATCTAAAGGTAATTGGACTGGATGCATGATCTTCTCCCTGATTGCCTAGCCTTACCTGGTGAAGGAAAATATACTGAAGTTTTAAAGAGAAAGCAAGTGGGTTCATCTCTCCATTGTATAAAACCTCTCCAGTAGATTCTCATGTAGCATATAAGCCTCAGAAGTGCTAAAATATGATTAAAAGAAAACAATTTATTTCCTTTTTTAACAGATTTGAATTATTCTCTTTGTATCAGTGGCCAAATAGCCAGAAGAAGCTTGAAAATGGCGGCAGTTTATGATATTCCTGCCTGTTGAAAGTAATTTAGGTTTAAGACTAGCTCTGCTAGTGAAAAATAATCTCTGTAACAAAGTTGAGTTGTGTGGTCTATTGCTAAATTGAGGGACAGCTTTCCTTATTGAAAGAGGGAGCTGAGAAGAAATCCACATCTCTTGTGCCTCTTGCAGTACTGGGAACAGATAAAACTAAAGAAGAACCTTTCACCTTCCACACTCAGCCATTGTTATTACAGGTAGTCCTTGAGTCATGATGATAACTTGGACCGGAATCTCCTTTGCTAAGCAATACCGTCATAAAGCATGATGTTACTTGTATTGGTTAGTGATGACAATCTTGGCAATCCCCTTTGCCTTTGTTAGGCAATCCTATCAGTTATTAAGCAAGGATCCATCCCAATCTAAGCCATTCCTCCCAGCTCCGGACCTCAGTAAAGCAAGAGACTGCCTCTTCTGCCTCCATGTCCTTCCATCCCCTTTCTCGCCCCCCATCTCTTCCCCTTTTGCCCACCCTGCATAATAGTACTCGTTGATGGCATTGGGGCTGAAGTAGAGACCCATGGCCTTCAGCAGTCTCTGCTAGCTGCCCCCCTCATCCCTGGGCTTCTTATTTCAGACCCAGTGGTGGTGCTGCTGCCACCGCAGCCGCGTACTACCTCAAACTTCTGAGGCTTCTGAGATGAGAAGGCCATGCCTGCCATTCTCCAAATAACGCACACAGTTCTCACAATGCTTCAGAAAGCCTTTGGGAAGCTTCCGAGGCTTCCTAAGAATGGCACATACTATGTGACAATTAATGGCACGTTAATTAATTAGTGGCAATTAAGAAATCTTTTTCCACAGTGATGCCTATTTTTATTTGAAAATTAAAAAAATGAGAATAAAATAATAGTCTAGAGGGAGAGATAGTTTCATTTAATGATTGAACACATCAGGATAGTCCTGCTGCTGGTATAAAGCCAGCTTTATCCCTAGGACAGGGGTAGGCAACCTCGGCTCTTTTATGACTCATGGACTCATGGACTTCAACTCCCAGAATTCCTGAGTCAGCTATGCTGACTCAGGAATTCTGGGAGTTGAAGTCCATGAGTCATAAAAGAGCCAAGGTTGCCTACCCCTGCCCTAGGAAGAAGGCTGTGGCAAACAGTTTCCAAAAATGTTGCCAAGTAAACTGCATGGACAAATACCAATAGAAAATTGCAACTCCATCTAGATACAATTAGATCTAATGTCACTTATACCAAATAACTACTTTCACAACATTTTTGAAATAAATGGTAACATTGTTGCTACTTTTTAAGGGAGTTTTATGTGTGTTATGTGTGTGTGTAGTATAATAAAAAACACAGCCATATAAGATATTTAGAAAAAAGTGACTTAATAGAGCAGATTCATGAAAGGAGTGTTGTGTAAGTGATAACACCAGAGATATCGAAGATGTTATCTACTTTCCATTCATGACTGCCATGGTTCCAGTAATAACTATAATGACCTTATCTTGTGGAGTAAGCACATCTTGTGGAGGTATATCACCAAACCAAATATTTTATTAACAAATTTCTGAATCATATGCAATTAAGAAACATTGGCACCAATTTTATTTGTTAAAATTGATCTAGAGAGGACAAGAGTGGAATAATCTTTAAAGAAGAAGACTCTTCCATGAAGAAGAGGACAGTTTTAAATAGATTTCTTTTGGACTGGCACTTTCCACAAAATTACTATAGACTTTTACAAGCATTTAAATTGTGTTCTTGCAATAGATGATAAAATAAAATAAGAGCACTTAGTGTCAAGAAGAATTGTGTCCCAATCTGCAACACCCCTCATAGTGTGTGCCTTGGTGTAAAATTACATTTATGATCTGCATGCTAACATCTTTCAACAGCAGTATTGAGAATTTTACAACCAGCTGGTTTAACATTCTCTGCCTTCATCAAAGTTTCCATTGTTTGATTATGCTTCAATCAAATACATCAATCTGCAATCTCCTTTTCTTGTGTGATTAAAAATTATACATAGTATAGTCAGTAAAAATAATTCTGCAACAGACTGGCTTCCTGAGTATTGTAACTGATTTTCAAAATATTAACATCGCTTAAGAGATATATTTTGACAATGAAGATAACTGAAGTAGTGGATAGTTTCTGCCTTTCAGAATCAACTATGAATTAGTAAAGGAATCAGCACTCAGATTCTGCAGACTAGCATTTGGTAGGGGAACAGTGAAGCCTTAGAAAATATATTCAGGTGCCAAGATGTGTTTATACTTATAAAGATAAGAATTATGCAGTTACTGATTTTCCCTGTGAAATGCTATGGAGGCAAGATTTGGACCTTTAAGAAGTCTGATAGAAAGTGTGGGATGCTTTTGAATGTTGGTTTTAAGAAAGATTTTTGAAAACACCGTGGATAGCCCAGAAAACGAAAAGATCATGGAACAAAACAACCAAGAGTTTTCACACTGAGATTATTTTATGATGGACACATTTTGCAAAGACTTAATCTTGAAAAATTATAATGTTAGAAAGGATGGAAGAAAAGAGAATAAGAGGATAACCACCAGCAAAGTGGAATACAAAACTGTTGGGTGCAGTGTTGGAAGACTTGAATGCCTGCTGGTTGACCAATCCTCTGGATGTCTCTTAAGTTGTTTCTAAGTGTCTATACCAACTTGATGGAACGTAATCTGTTACAATCAATCAGTTAATCAACCTACCAACCAACTGAAGAAATGTATTGGGGGATATTACCTATAATAGAATCACCTAGCATTGATTCCATGTCTAGCAAGGAATAATTCTAAATGAACAACATAAAGCATTTTGTAGAATCTTAGGATCAGAAGAAATATTAAAAATAATCTAATCCAAAGCCCTGCTTCATGTAGAATATGCTTTTTAGATCGATGGATAGTTTTGACTCTAAATATCTGTTAATACCTCTTTACATTACCCTGTTGATTTATCAGTGTATTAATTGTGAACATTGAGATCTTTTTCACATGTGTTAATGCCAAGTTAGTTCATCCTCATCCCATAATTATGCCTTCCTTTTTTTCTCTATATACACATAACTTAATTTTTCTTCTTGTTACATTTCAACCTTTGATTTCAGCCTTGTTCATTATTACATGCTGCCTGAATTTTTTTCTGTTGGTGAAAAAAGTGCTAA